AGCTCCTCAGCGTCCTCACTGCTCCGAGTAGCAGCTTGGAACTCACCTTGTCGGATGCGGGCAATTTACATGTGAAGCCCCTTCGTGTTTTCCTTTCAGATCCCTCCCTCCTGGAGCTCAGTGTTTGATGGGTCCACTGGCCCCAGGGATGCAGAGAACCCAGTGTCTGGGCTGCCTCCGTTGCCAGCCCTGTAGATGGGGAAGGGCTCCCTGTCACCCACACCAGGCTGGGCTGCATGGACATCCAGGCCCAAGGCAAGAGTGGTCCCCATGACCTCCAGCCCCCAATTCCTAACTGCAACCCCGGTCCTTCTCACGACACTTCAAAACCCTTGGCTTCCTCCTCTGTCCTGGGTTTTCTCTTCCATGTCACCTCTTTTTCCTTTTTTAAATAAAGCACAGGACTCTCAATTTGCATAAGCCAGAAGTGTACTTCCCCAGGATGCTTGTTTACAAAAAGTTCCCAAGATTACTTAGCACAGGAGGGAAACGCCTGCTGTATCAACAGCTCTGCAAATGCATGTGTGTGCACACGTGTGCGCTGCTGCAGACAGCTCTGCAAATGCATGTGTGCACACGTGTGCGCTGCTGCAGACAGCTCTGCAAATGCAAGTGTGTGCACACGTGTGCGCTGCTGCAGACAGCTCTGCAAATGCAAGTGTGTGCACACGTGTGTGCGCAATTGTAGACAGCTCTGCAAATGCATGTGTGCGCTGCTGCAGACAGCTCTGCAAATGCATGTGTGCGCACACGTGTGCGCTGCTGCATAGACAGCTCTGCAAATGCATGTGTGTGCACACGTGTGCGCTGCTGCATAGACAGCTCTGTAAATGTATGTGTGTGCACACATGTGCGCTGCTGTATAGGCAGCTCTGCAAATGCATGTGTGTGCACACGTGTGCGCTGCTGCATAGACAGCTCTGCAAATGTATGTGTGTGCACACATGTGCGCTGCTGTATAGGCAGCTCTGCAAATGCATGTGTGTGCACACGTGTGTGCGTTTGTATAGACAACCCTGCAAATGCATGTGCGTGCACACGTGTGAGACTATAAACAGCTCTGCGAATGCATGTGTGCACACGTGTGCGATGCTGTATAGACAGCTCTGCAAATGCATGTGTGTGCACGCCCCTGTGCTAACACGCTGTCCTCCAGACGTGCGGCTGGTGGGCTTCATGGCTGTGCACCCAGGCTGCTGTCCATAGTCCCACATGCAGGAGGACCACCGCTTGGACAATGCTCTGTGGTTCCCACGTCTTGAAATTCTGAATAATTTGTAACAAGGGCCCCACATTTCATTTTGCACAGGACCAATCAATCACGTCGCTGGCTTGCAGGCAGTGGCTGTCCCTGTAGGAGCAGTGGGCAGCAGAGGACAGGACCCTGGGGAAGGGCTCACTCCTCACCCCAGGAGGGTGCAGGCCCTGGAGTCATCGCAGGGGAGGCAGGTCTGGGAGGTCGGGGCCCCTCTGGACAGCATCGCAGCCAGAATGACCAGGCTCTGGTCCTCGGTTCCGACAAGGCCTGCGTGAGTGGAGTGGAGAGGAGTCGAGGTGCACTGGTCATGCCTGCCACAGCACCCACGCATAGGATGCTGTGAGGTGCTGTGTCCCGGTCAGTCCTGCCCTGCCCCACACTGGCCCCTTCACACCCGCAGCCACGGAGGCGGCACCCAGCAGCCCAGTGTGGCGGCACCAGCCCCTTTCCAGGCCAGTGCTGTGGGTGGAGTATCCCCTCAGTGCAGCCTAACCCTGGATCTGCAGATGGGGCCTCCAGGAGGTGAGGAAGGTTAGATGAGGCCATGAGTGTGGGGCCCTGACCCGCCGGATGGATTCCTGTCCTTAAGAGAAGACTCCGGAGAGTTCAAGCGTGTTCTCTCTCCGCCCTCGCTCTTCCCTCCTCCCCCTCCTCACCCCAGCATGTCAGGATGTAGCAAGCAGATGCCGTCGACGAGCCAGGAATTGGATCCTCACCAGGACCCAAACCTCTCAGCACCGTGATCTTGAACATCCAGCCTCCAGGGCTGTGAGAAAATAAACGCATGTTGTTTGAGCCCCTCAGTTTGCGGAGATTTGCTACACCAGCCTGACCCAGCTGAGACAGCCAGGGGACCAGGAGACATGGGATATCCTCATTCACCAGAAGTCAGGTGAGGAAACTCTAGCTGAGAATCAGTGGCTTCCCCCACGAGAAAGGAATTGTGCTCTTTGCTTCTGAGGGAACCTCCCGGCTTCCAGGGACATCTCCAGGATGAATAAGCTACCCAGGCAGCGGCTCCCAGACCCTCAGAGAGTCCCAGACACCTGCTGCGCTTCCACTAACCTGAGGAACAGCGTCAAGAGGGGGCATGGTGCCATGAGGGGGACAGCTGGAGACCACTGGGTGTCTTCCCAGGGCCTCTTTTCCCGTCTGTTCCCTATTCCTGCAGAAAGCCACCAGCAGCTCTCTCCCATCCTGATGCATCGTTCTGGGTGACAGTAAACATGGTAGAAAAATCTCACGCACAAATACGAACCTTAAACCTAGAGGAAGCTACAGGTGAAATGCACACTCCTCAACCCCAGAAATGCCCTTGCAATGGCTGGGAAAGGAACTGAACAAATTATAGAAAGCACCGTGTGTCTGTGTGTGTGCACGTGTGCGTGTGTCTGTGTGTGCGTGCATGTCTGTGTGTGCATGTGTATGTGTCTGTGTGCACGTGTCTGTGTGTGCGTGCACATGTGTGCATGTGTGTGTGCGTGCCTGTGTGCATGTGTATGTATGCATGCACGTGTGTGTCTGTGTGTGCGTGCACGTGTGTGCGTGTGTGCATGTGTATGTCTGTGTGTGTGTGTGCACGTGTCTGTGTGTGCGTGCGCATGTGTGCATGTGTGTGTGCATGTCTGTGTGTGCATGTGTCTGTGTGTGCGTGTGCATGTGTGCATGTGTGTGTGCGTGCCTGTGTGCATGTGTATGTGTGTGTATGCATGCACGTGTGTCTGTGTGTGCGTGCATGTCTGTGTGTGCATGTGTATGTGTCTGTGTGCACGTGCACATGTGTGCATGTGTGTGCATGTCTGTGTGTGCATGTCTGTGTGTGCGTGCACATGTGTGCATGTGTGTGTGCATGTCTGTGTGTGCATGTGTCTGTGTGTGTGCACGTGTGCGTGTATGTGCGTGCGCATGTGTGCATGTGTGTGTGCATGTGTATGTGTCTGTGTGCACGTGTGTCTGTGTGTGCGTGCACATGTGTGCATGTGTGTGTGCGTGCCTGTGTGCATGTGTATGTGTGTGTATGCATGCACGTGTGTCTGTGTGTGCGTGCGCGTGTGTGCGTGTGTGCATGTGTATGTCTGTGTGTGTGTGCACGTGTCTGTGTGCGTGCGCATGTGTGCATGTGTGTGTGCATGTCTGTGTGTGCATGTGTCTGTGTGCACGTTTGCGTGTGTATGTGCGTGCGCATGTGTGCATGTGTGTGTGCATGTGTATGTGTCTGTGTGCATGTGTGTCTGTGTGTGCGTGTGCATGTGTGCGTGTGTGCATGTGTATGTCTGTGTGTGTGTGCACGTGTCTGTGTGCGTGCGCATGTGTGCATGTGTGTGTGCATGTCTGTGTATGCATGTGTGTGTGCGCACGTGTGCGTGTGTATGTGCGTGCGCATGTGTGCATGTGTGTGTGCATGTGTGTGTGCATGTGTATGTGTCTGTGTGCACGTGTGTCTGTGTGTGTGTGCACATGTGTGCATGTGTGTGTGCGTGCCTGTGTGCATGTGTATGTGTGTGTATGCGTGCACGTGTGTGTCTGTGTGTGCGTGCGCGTGTGTGCGTGTGTGCATGTGTATGTCTGTGTGTGTGTGCACGTGTCTGTGTGTGCGTGCGCATGTGTGCATGTGTGTGTGCATGTGTCTGTGTGCACGTGTGCGTGTGTATGTGCGTGCACATGTGTGCATGTGTGTGTGCATGTGTGTGTGCATGTGTATGTGTCTGTGTGCACGTGTGTCTGTGTGCGTGTGCATGTGTGCATGTATGTGTGTGTGTGTGCCCGTGTGTGTTGGGGGTGTGTTTCTCTGGCACCAACGCTGAGGGTCATGACAGGAAGAGGTTCCAGTGTGGCTTAAAAGAAATGCCTCTGTGTGCTCCCATCTGTCCTAGCCACGGTGCCCGGGGTGGTCTTCAGGGCAGTGTGCCTCCTGCTGTCATCCTAAGCCAACAGGGCCTCAGAAACCCCCGGGTGCCCAGTGCCTGTTGTCTTCTGCCCTAAGAGGCAGAAGCAGGGACGGGGCTGTCTCGGGTTAGGAGCCACTCAGCTGCTGCAAGGACGCGTCTCAGCATCGGCCCCGCCCGCTTCGGCACACTCTGCAGCACACAGTGGGGCCTGGGCCATCAGGAATGGGGCTGGCACAGCCCAGAACACCTGGGCAGGGTGGGTGGCGTCCGAGGGCCTGACCTATCTGCAGGGCAGGCTGTGAGAGGGTGGACAAATGGTCCAGGCTCAAATCCTTCACTGCCCAGCTCAGCAGGGACCTTGATGTGCACACACATGTGCACATCACACACGTATACACCACACACATACGCCACACACAGAGGTCTGCGGGCACACACACATGCACACATGTCCATTTAAATGCATGCTCACAAACGTATCAACAGGTGCAGCACATACATGCACACGTGTACACACACAGATGTGTGTCTGCACATGCACCCACATGTACACTCTCATGTAAACATGCATGTACATGCACGCAGGTCATGTGGGCTCACCTGCTCTCAGCACTCGCAGAACAAATTGACGAGCAGGCGGCAGGCTGCCCCGTCCCTGGCCTGGCCCTCCCGAGGGCACCAGCGGGCCGGCCCTGAGCACACAACACCTTTTGTTTGCTGGCAGGAGCCAGGCTTGCCCACCCCAGCCCACTTCCTGCTGGAGGCGGTCAGAGGCACAGCGCCCGGCCACCATGTCCTGGGTGGGGACAAAGGGCTCTTTCAAACCCACATTTCACAACTCTCTTTCACCCGGGCACGGGTGAGGAGGCCTCTCCTCTGGTCCCAATGTCACAGTAGCCCTCAGAGATGGGAAGGGGCATCCCCAGGAGCTGACAGAGCTTCCTGAGGTAGCGTGAGTGATGGTGACTGAAACCTGAGCTTTGGGCAAAAAAATGTCATCGCTCATCCACATGGGCTAACCCAGGGGGTCCTGGGCACATAACAAGTAAAGGGCACAGGAGGTAATGGGCACGTGGGTAATGGACACAGGGGGAAAAGGCATGGGGGATAAGGGGATAGGGTAAGGGCACAAGGGGTAAGGGGCACAGGGGTAAAGGGCATGGAGGTAAAGGCATGGGGGTTAAAGGGCACAGGGGTAAAGGGCATGGGGGTAAAGGCATGGGAGTTAAAGGGCACAGGGGTAAAGGGCATGGGGGTAAAGGCATGGGATTAAAGGGCATGGGGGGTAAAGGCATGGGGGTAAAGGCACAGGGGGTAAAGGGCATGGGGTAAAGGGATGGGGTAAAGGGCACTGGGTAAAGGGCATGGGGTAAAGGCACATGGGGTAAAGGGCATGAGGTAAAGGGCATGGGGGTAAAGGGCACTGGGTAAAGGGCACTAGGTAAAGGGCACGGGGTAAAGNAAAGGGCACTAGGTAAAGGGCACGGGGTAAAGGCACATGGGGTAAAGGGCATGAGGTAAAGGGCATGGGGGTAAAGGGCACTGGGTAAAGGGCACGGGGTAAAGGGCATGGGGTAAAGGGCATGTGGGTAAAGGGCACTGGGTAAAGGGCACGGGGTAAAGGGCATGGGGTAAAGGCACATGGGGTAAAGGGTATGGGGTAAAGGGCATGGGGGTAAAGGGCATGGGGTAAAGGGCACTGGGTCTCATGCATTTCGTGTCTGCAGTGCGCATCTGCAGGATGGTAGAGCGGATGGTAGAGCAGGTGCTCAGGACATCGATTGGGAAGGGAGCCAGGGAGCCGCTGCCTCAGATGGAAATAGGGTGCAAGGGGGGCATCTCAGACTGGGTGTGTCCTGGCTGAACCTAGGGTCTCACCGATCTTGAGCCTCTGTAGGACCCCGTAGCCCCCGAGACCCAGGGCAGCCAGGCCCTGGGCCAGCAGCGCTTTCTCCACCTGGAAACACTTCTCCAAGGTACCACTCAGCCCCAGTGTCCCTCCCACACCATGCTCTTCATCACACACACATGCCATTCACATATGCAGATATAGGCACACACATGCACACCACACACAGCCGCACGTCCACACACACGCACACACGCCCGCAGGGTGCCCCCTCGCAGACTCGCCACCCACACATGTGCATCATCCCCCAGGCCACCTGGCTCCCTGGCAGTGAGTCCTCAGGTCTACAGAGGGGTGTGCACCTTCCACCACTCCAGGTCCCCTCCGGGCGCACATTCAAGCTGCTTCCCCAGGCGCAGGCTCCACCTCCCAGGCCTCCCTCGCTTCCCCGGATGACGCAGCTGCTGCGCCCAGATCCTTGTCAGTGGCAGCATGGAAACCTTGGGCTCCAGGAGGGCAGAGTGCAGAGGACGGTGCCCAGTGCAGCTGTGACCACGTTTCAGGGAGGGAGGCCTCCAGGCCAGGGTGGGAGCCGGACTCTCTCTGCAGTCTCGGAGGGGAGTGGCCTGTGACCGTGCCAACAGCCTCAGGGAGGGACGCGCTGAGAGGCAGGGGCGGGCGGGGCTGGCTGGCCACAGGTCCTCAGCACAGAGTGGTTCAGGCTCCCAATCAATTTGCTGAAAGTCTAATTTGCCACAAACAGTTGGGCGACCCTTGAATGGAGTTGAAGACACAGCAGGGTGGTTGTTTGGGTGAGATGCACGGGGCACTGTGCCCGAGCGAGCGGGAGCCCACCGGTGCCTCCTGCAGATGGCCAGCGTGGAGGCACCTCTGACCAGCATTCGGGGTTCCTGGGCCTGCCTTTTCTGAAGCTTCACACGAGGGGGGCTTGCGGAATGTTCAGCCTTAGTCCTGCTTGTCTTTTACGCCGTCAGGACTGTGAGGCGACAGGGAGACACGCCATGCTGTCCAAGTCTTCTGCGGCCAGTGAGAAGCGTGCCTGCCTGGGGGATTCAGCCCTGGGCCCGGCCTCCTGGGGACAGTGCTTGGTGGCCTAAATGCTGGCCACCGACCTCTTCTGAATGGCTGTGCTTGCAGTGGCCATGTCAGAGTGCAGGTACGTCCTGCGTGATCTGAGGACACTCATTTCCAAACGCCATCCGAGGGGCCCGTGTGTGCGCGTGTGTGGTGTGTGTGTGTGAGGCGGTGTGTGTATGGTGTGTATGTGAGGTGGTGTGTATGGTGTGTGTGTGTGTATGGGGGGTGTGTATGGGGGGTGTGTATGGGGTGTGTGTATGGTGTGGTGTGTGACTGTGTGGGATGTGTGTACGGTGTGTGTGTGTATGGTGGGTGTATGGGGTATGTGTATGGCGTGTCTGTGTGTATGGGTGTGTGTATGGGGTGTGTATGTGTGTGTATGGGGTGTGTGTATGGGGTGTGTGTATGGCATGTCTATGTGTGTGTATGTGTGTGTGTATGGGGTGTGTGTGTGTGTGTATGGGGTGTGTGTATGGCATGTCTATGTGTGTGTATGTGTGTGTGTATGGGGTGTGTATGTGTGTGTATGGGGTGTGTGTATGGCATGTCTATGTGTGTGTATGGGGTGTGTATGTGTGTGTATGGGGTGTGTGTATGGCATGTCTATGTGTGTGTATGTGTGTGTGTATGGGGTGTGATTGTGTGCATGGTGTGTGTGCGTGTCCCATGTTCCTGTTTATGCAGACATTCACACCCTGCAAAGGTCCATCCACCCCCAATACCCGGTGTGAATTCCAACAGGAAGAGGTGGCAGGACCTAGATGTGTCCCTGGGACGCGGGAGCTGCTCTCTGGGGCTGTGGGCGCTGCACCAGAGATGCACTCCACGCGCTTCCCGGCCTCCCTCTCATGGTCTCGGAGGAGTTCGTTAGAAGTAAGTGCGGCCGTAAATATGCAATGAAAGTTTCTTCTGTTCACAGTCGAAGCAATAATTGGATTATTCCCGTTTAAAGCCCGCTTACTCACGCTGCAAGGCAAAGCCTGTCTTCATCCGGAGGAGACATCTTAGGTGAGTTATCAGGAACCCACTCGTAAACGTGCCTTCCGGGACAGCTCTGGGTTAAATAGAAGGTGTGATGACAACAAACAAAGCCACACGCTTATTAAGACGCCTTCATGTGACACAGCCTTAAGTATGTGAGAGCAGAGCTCACCGAGTGGAACTCCGGGAATGTACACACACGGCGCAGCAGGAGGTCCCTCCGCCCTGGAGCTCACCGAGTGGAACTCCGGGAATGTATACACACGGCGCAGCAGGAGGTCCCTCCGCCCTGGAGCTCACCGAGTGGAACTCCGGGAATGTATACACACGGCGCAGCAGGAGGTCCCTCCGACCTGGAGCTCACGGAGTGGAACGCGGGGAATGTATACACACGGCGCAGCAGGAGGTCCCTCCGCCCTGGAGCTCACCGAGTGGAACTCCGGGAATGTATACACACGGCGCAGCAGGTAGGTCTCCACCCTGGAGCTCACAGAGTGGAACGCGGGGAATGTACACACCACACGCAGCAGGTAGGTCTCCGCCCTGGAGCACGGCGAGCAGGTAGATTCTATTGATCCGGGGTCTGGGGCAGTTGGGGTTGAGGGTCTGAGGGGACCCCAGTTCACCCAGCTCGTGGAAGCTGCAAACAGCCTATGTGCTCTCGAGAGCTGACCCTCTGCGTCTTGTCTGAGTGACCACAGATGGGATGGCTGCGTGGCTCCGTGGTGCTTGAAAGCCCTTGCTAGGGACTGAGCGATGCTGTATGCGGAACTTGAAGCCAGCCCCGCTGACTCCTCTCGCCAGGAATCTGGTGACACCAAAGGGCCTGCCGATTTGTTTCCAGCACCAGGAAGCCCCAGCCCATCTCTGAAAGAGTCAGCAGCTCAGGAAGGCACCCCTGCTGCCCACACCCTGGCCAGGTGCCCTTGTCCAACCACAAACCTGAGAACCTCACAACCCAGGAAACACAGGAAGAGAAACCCTTCCCCGGATTGACGCCCCAGGCAGGAACGTGTGGGCCACTCCAGGGAACAGATGGACAGGGACGCACAGTGCTCCTTCACCTGGGACTGTGGCTGTGACATTCCTCAACACCCAAGCCCCGTGGTGTGCACGACTGCAGGCTTCCCTTGGGAATAAACTGTCTCCTCACTTCCATTAACACACAGTCCTGCTTACTGTACTCAACAGCTTGGAAAATGAATCATCCAGAACCAAACCAGTGGGATTCCGGGAGAAATTGTGGGCGCTTGCTCAGATATCATCAGAAACACTCTCGACTGAGCTGGGGCGGCTGCGCTCTCTGGCAGTGTCTGACCCAGAAGAGCGTCCCCCAAGCGTCCCAGATCTGGCTGGGGATGGAGGATTCAATCTACAGCTATGCACACGGGCCAGTCTGTCCCAGCAACATTCTCACATGGCCACTTGGTCTCCACCCGAGGACTTGCTGTCAAGTCTCCGCAGGTCCTCAGTGATGGAGCCTGGCCCTGCACTTCTGGCCTGGTCTGAAGGTACAGGCTGGCCTTTTCTGGGGTGAATGTGAGTCCCAAGTCCGGGAATCGCTAAATCCTGCCCAGAACTCAGACCCTGAGGACAAGCAGGCCAGGCAGAGGGGGAGCTCCAGACATGGACCGGAGAGGTGGGGTTTGCAGGTAGGTGAGAAGCACCCCATCTCCGGGGGGGGTCAGACCAGGTGCCCTGTCCACGTCCACCTGAGTCACACTGCCTCCCGCATACCACGTGCAGAGGCAGAGGGAGGTTTCCACACATTTTTGAAAACCATGCCTCCCTAACTGCCCCAGCTGTTCTGCACATTTGCAGTTGAGGACTTTTGTGGGCACTGGGTCCTCCTGGGAGGCAGGTGCAGAGGCTGGAGTCTCCCACACTGAGGACACACACGGGCCATTTCTCCTTGTGCTTAGCAGCGAAGCCGCGGCACGTTGAAAAAGGCTTTCTCTTTTTTTGTTTGTTGAGACAGAGTCTTGCTCTGTGGCCAAGTTGGAGTACCCCTTGGGGTACGTGAGGCTGACACGGGGCAATAAGGGTCCAGGAAAACGAAGAGAAAAGGGCAGTGGCACGATCTCAGCTCATGGCAACCTCTGCCTCCCAGGCTCAAGCGATTCTCCTGCCTCAGCGTCCCAAGTAGCTGGCACTATAGGTGCGCGCCACCATGTCCCCTAATTTTTTGCATTTTTAGTGGAGACGGGGTTTAACCACGTTGGCCAGGCTGGTCTTGAACTCCTGACCTCAGGTGATCCACCCGCCTAGGCCTCCCAAAGTGCTGGGATTACAGGCGTGGGCCACCGCGCCCGGCCTTCTTTTTTTTGTTAAATCAGGATGCACTGTAGAAACTGGGAAGTCAAGATTCTCCTTTCAGCTAAGAAAGAGCTTACTTAGATATGAACCAGGGAGGACTGGGCAGGGAGACCCACCGTCCCCAGAGCAGCCAGGGGGAGGTAAGAAGCCTGAAGACCTGGCCCTCACGGGGGAGGGGCCAAGACAGGGCCAAGGCCTTGGGGTCCATGAGGCTGACCCGAGGCCAGCGTCCAGGAAAGCAGAGAAACGGGCAGTGTGCTCCGGTCCTCGCTGTTCAGTGGTGATCTGCTAATCACTCAAGAAAAGCAAAATCCGCAAAACCCATATCACATCTTAAAATTAGATAAAATTTTCTTTCTACAACTTCTAGACAGCATGATTTAGTGAGAACAGTCCTGATAATTATTTTTGCTTTAAATAGTTACAGTAGAATATATTAATTTTCAAGATGGCTCTCTGATGAGAGTGGCTCATTAGCACTGGGAACTGTCCCCGCCGTGCTCAAGAATGGAAAAGTCTCCCTTTGTGATGAGGGCACCAAACTGCACCAGTGCAAAACGCTCCAAGTCTGGGTAATCAAATTAGATGAGAGAGGGGAAAAAACCCAAAAAAACAAACAAAGAACCCCTAAGCCACCACTGTAATGAGCTACCTGTTCATTATTTCATTAAGGTTAAGACATGTAAGTGGAAGAAAAAACAACACTCTAATCATGCTCCTCGGGCAAATTCCTATGAACTGACAGACGCTATTTAAGAGGGAAGACAGGAGAGGCAGCCGCAGTTTTTAATTTTAATGTACGGAAAGGAAAGAACCTCCTGTCTGTTTCCAGGAGGCCCCAGGGGCTATGTGCTGCTGGAGTGGCACTCAGGGAGCCTGGGGCAGCCCAGGGAAGGAGGGTGGTGGCGGGTGGGGCAGCTCCACATCCCCCCAGAGAGGAGGGGCGCTCCTTCACTTAGGGAGGTGACCTGAGGCCAGCTGGGTGTGTAGGAGCTGGGTGCTGCTGGTTGTGGGTCATCACTGGAGGGGATGAGGAGGGCAAGTTCCCGGGGATGATCCTGTTTATAAGCGGACTGCCACTACCTCGAGGGGAGGCGCTGGCCATGGCAAAATTAACCCGGATGCTGACAACTCTGACTGCCTTCTCAGGGAACCTGCTGCCCTCACGAGGACCTGGACACATCAGGGCTCACAGGAGGCTTCACAGCTAGGCTCAGGAAACATTTAGCCAATCCCATCCATCCATCCACAGGCCCCCCACCAATCCATCCATCTATCCACCCACCCACCCATCTATCCATTCAAATATCCATTACTATTCATGCACCATCCACCCATCATCCACTAATCCATCCATCCACCTGTCTACCATCCATTCATCTACCCACCTATCCACCTATCCATCCATCTATCCACTCAGCCATCTATCCACCATTCACCGCCCACCCATCCTCCCATCATCAATCCACGCATCTATCACTGACCCTCCACTAATCCATCCATCCACCTATATATCCATTCAACCTTCCATCTACCATCACCATCCATCCATCCATCATCCATCCTCCCATCCATCAATCCACTCATCCATCACCCACCCTCCACTAATCCATCCATCCACCTATATAGCCATTCAAGCATCATTCCATTCCACCATCACCATCTATCCATCCATCCATTCATCAATCAATCCATCCATCTGTCCGTCCATCCATCTATCCTCCATCCATCCATCTATCCACCTATGTATCCATTCTACCATCATTCCATTCCACCATCACCATCTATCCATCCATCCATTCATCAATCAATCCATCCATCCATCATCAATCCATCCATCTATCCATCCATCCATTCATCCATCCTCCAACCATCCACCCACCTGTCCATCATCTAGCCATCCATCATCCATCTGTCCATCCATCCAGCCATCCTTCCTCCATCAATCCTCCATCAATTCATCCATCCATCCACCTGTCTACCATCTATCCATCCCCTGTCCATCTATCCATCTATCCTCCATCCATCCATCTATCCACCTATATATCCATTCAACCATCATTCCATTCCACCATCACCATCTATCCATCCCCTGTCCATCTATCTATCCATTCAAAAGTTGATTCACCATCCAATATTCATTCATCTACTTATCTGATTTGGTGAATCAATACTATCCACTTTCTATCAATCTATCCATTCATCTACCCACCATCCATCCATCCACCTGTCCATCCATCCATCCATTCTTTCCCCCATCCACCCATCCAAACACCTGACCATCATGTACTATGATTTGAAGTCTGTGCCCCTCTGCAGTCATGTTGAGAGCTAACCCCAAGTTATTGTATTAGGAAGTGGGGCCTTTGGGCAGTGATTGATTAGGCCACAAGTGGAGCCCTCGTGAATGAAATTTGTGCCTTATAAAAGGATGAGAGAGGCCCCTCATCCCTTCCAGTACGTGAGGACACAGCCAGAAGGCAGTCGTCTGCAAACCAGAAGACAGTGCTCACCACAACCGGCCCTATGCACCTGATCGCAGATTTCCAGCCTCCACAACTGTGAGAAACACATTTCTGTGGTTTCTAAGCCCCCAGTCTATGTACTCCGTTATAGCAGCCCCAGCAGACAAAGGCACACTGAAACCTAGGCTTGTCTGCTTTCCCCTCCTGGGCAGAGACCCCCGGAGCCTCATATGCCATCCTGCCTGCTGCCCACGGCTCAGGGACCCCCTCCTCCTCCCCGATGGAGGGAGCTTTGAAAGTAGTGGGAGTGACCTTGGCCACTTGTGCTGACCCCACTCAGCAGCCCCTTCCAACTCCCCGGGTGCACCTGGGGCCCGTGTGAATTCAGGGCAAGGCACCTGCACTTCCAGGCCCTGCCTGCCTCTTAGCTTCTGGAGCCACAAGGAAGGTTGGCCAGTGGTGACGGATGCACCCAGTGACAGGGGTAGGTGCAGAGGCCTCTGAATGGGGTGTTTTCTAACTGGCACAGAGCTCTAAACCCAAAGTGAAACCCTAAGTCTCCCAACCAACTGAACAGACACCCCCATGGGCCAAGGGCAGGCACAGAGAAACCTGACAAGCTGAACCCCCAGCCATGATGAGGGGAGACTGGACACCCCTCAATGCACTCCTCCCTTTTGGAGTTTAGGCTCAACTGACCAGCAGCATCATTAAAAGAGAGATCATAAGACTGACAACATGGATTATTTGTGGCAGTAAGATACCAAATTCCAGCCTGCCTCTGGTACAGTATCGCATGACACAGAGCAGGCTCTAAAGGAAATCAAAATATTTTACCCCGAAGAACATTACTCTGACATATTTTGAAATGGTGCTGCAAAGCTGACTCTTGGGGGGAAAATTTGCATCTCCTTTTTCTAGGTCTTTCCTGGATCCAAGAGAGATTTGACTAAGAATCTGACACCTTTTAAAGTCCTAAGAGAGATATTCGTTTTCTCTCTTCATCTACATAACAAGCACTGTGGTTTCCACAACCTCCCATCCTAACTCCAGCATTCCTTTCTACTGATTTCTTAAGACTTAAGAAAAAGCTCAACTCTTTCAACCAACCGCCAGTCAGG